ACATTCTTGCCAGCAGTGTGAAAGTACAATTTTCCAAACCTGACAGTGTTGGGAATTTTAATTTTTTTCATCTTTGTCAAGTTTATAGATAATAAATGGTATCCTATCATTTTATTTGTATTCTTTTTTTAGGGAAGCTGAATAGTTTTTTCATATGTATATTGACCATTTATTTTTCTTTCCTTGTGAACTATTTATTAATATCCTCTGCCCAGTTGTTAATTGTAAATGCTACTTACATATTAAGGCTATTAACCCTTTACCATATATGTTTCACTTTTTAATCTCATTTTGTCATTTGTGATTTAATTTTCCTTATGGTGGGGTTATATTTAACATAACATAAATTTTATATTTTATGGCTTAAATATTTTAACTTTTTTCTTTATGATTTCTGCTTTTGTAATCATGATTAAAATATTATGATAAAAGTATTTAATCATCATTAAAATAATTTTAAGATTATAGAAACAATCACACGATTTTCTTCGAGTTTGTGTGAGGTTTTGTTTTCACATTTGAATCTTTAGTCTATCAGGCATTTACTTTGTATATGGCATGAAGTAATGATGGCATCTTTGTTTTTCCTTATAGCTAACCAACTCATTATTGAAAAGTTCATCCTTTTCTCAGTAGGGTTAAATACCATATTTAACAAATAAGAAACATTTAAATATGGTATTCGTAAGTAATTTCTGGGCTTTCTGTTCTGTTTCATTGTTCTGCCTCTTTTGACACCACTACCAAACTTTATTTAATTTTTAGCCTATTTAATACCTAGTATCCCCCTCATGGTTCTTTTCTAAAATTGCCTTGACCATTCTCAGTTTTTTATTCTTTTAAATAAACTTTAGTATTTTTTTTGTTACCTGTTTGAAAAATCTCTTTGGGATTTTAACCAGAATTTGATAACATTTACAAACTAATTTGGAGAGAATTGACATCTTTACCATGTCGAATCTTCTAGTATAGGAAAATTGTATTACCCTTTATTTATCAAAATATTTTTTATTTTCCCAGTAAAGTTCTATACATTTTTTTACATAGGCTATTCACTTTGTTTTGTTAGTCCTAGAAGTTTTGTTGTTGCTGCTTTTGTGAATGAGAATTCTTTTCAGTATGTTGTCTAAGTTTTTGGTAGTTATATGGGAAATCCCATTAGTTTTTTGCATTTATTTTGTTGACTGTTTACATCACTGAACTTTCTAATTATTTAAAAGCATTTTTAGTTGGTTCTGTTGAGTAAATGATTATAACATCTGCAGGTTGAATAATTTTGTCTCCTGCTTTCTAACAGTTCTTGTGTAGCTTCTTTATCTTGCCTGATGGCAGTGGCTCAAATGTCTCTAACAGTGCCAAATGGTGATAGTGATTGTGAGCAACCTTTTCTTGTCTCTGAATTTAATATTAATACTTCTAGTATTTTACCATAAAGTATGATGCCTGTGTTTGGTTTGAGATAGATTATCATGGTAAGCAGGTCTTCTAACTTCATCTTATTAATTAAAAATTGATACTGAATGTTATCAAATGACTTCAAGATTACTGTTGTGGTAATTCAAAAGCTTTTCTCCATTGATTTGTTTATGTCTTAATTATGTTAATGCATTTCTTAATACTGATATATTTTTATGTCTTTAGGGTAAACTATGTGTAAACATGACGTCAGTCTGTGGTTTCCTTTCTTATGCTTTATCAGTTTTTTTTATTTTTTTGTTTATTTTTTATTTTTTTAAATTAATTAATTAATTTTTTTTTTGAGGCACAGTCTTGCTTTGTTGCCCAGGCTACAGTGAGTGCCGTGGCGTCAGCCTAGCTCACAGAAACCTCAAACTCCTAGGCTCAAGCGATCCTCCTGCTTCAGCCTCCCGAGTAGCTGGGACTACAGGCATGTGCCACCATGCCCAGCTAATTTTTTCTATATATATTAGTTGGCCAATTAATTTCTTTCTATTTATGGTAGAGATGGGGTCTCACTCTTGCTCAGGCTGGTTTCAAACTCCTGATCTCCAGCAATCTGCCCACCTCGGGCCTCCCAGAGTGCTAGGATTACAGGCGTGAGCCACCGCGCCCGGCCAGTTTTTTTTAAAGTCAGAGGTATTATGTTAGGTTTCTGTTACTTTTGTCCGCTTGAACATTTTACATAGCCTGGGAATTATCTGTAGGTGGAAGCTCAAAGAAAACTTAATTGTGTAAGTAATCTGAACTAAAAAAATTTTTGGAAACAATTTCTTAATAACTTTTACATTTTTCCATGATTACTGATCTGTTGGTTTTCAACTTCTTCTTGGGTCAGTTTGCCTCTAATTATTATTTTGGCCATGGCCTACAATATTTGATATGTGGTATTCTCATTTCTGAAAACTTCTAAGCGTTCGGTAATTGCCCTTTTGATTTCTTTTCCAATCAATGATTTTTTTTTTTAAAGAAGAGTTATAAAGTTTTTCCAAGAGCTTGGCTCTTTTTTTTACTTACACTTTTGTAATGAATTTATAGTTTTATTACAGCGTGATTATACAATGTGGTCAAAGTGATTTCTTTTGGAGGGGAATTACTTAAAATTTTTTTGGTGGCCTAATATAAAATCAAATTTTATAAACTTTTCTTCTATCTTTTCTTAACAGAATTGACAGAGATCCTACTCTTCAATCATTCATTTATGCATTGAGCATTGTTTCAGCCATGTGTCTAATACATGCCAGGCATTGTAGTAGGCATTGCAAGATATAAAATGAATACATCATAAGCTTTCCCTGAGGTTGACAAAGTTTAGATAGGACATAGGTACATGAAGACCTAATAATTATAATAGAGAAAGAAATGCAGTGGAATGGTCAAAAGGAGGCAGCAGAGAGTGAGAGCCACACTCTGTCAGAGGTTCTGGGAATTCAAGGTTGCCTAACATGACCCTGAGAGGCTTTCAGTCCTAAAATGTAAAAGATAAATTAAGGGCAGAGACAGGCTTTTTGGTGGCAAGACAGATAATTAGGAAATCACTATAGTCATTCAGTAATACGTTAGAACACCTAAAAGATGTTAGAGAACAAAAAGAGGAGATTTTCGCATTTAAGGGGCAGGTAGAAGCAGACAGGTCCACACAGGAGGCTGAAGGAGGTAGGAGTGAAGTTTTACAGCGGCCACAAGAGAACATCTCAAGGCGTGCCTGGTCAGTTGGGTCAAATGGAGCTGGAAGGTCATGTAAGATAAAAGTATCTATTACCCTTGGTCTTTGGTGTCTTGGGGAAGGCAGTTTTAGTGAAGTGAGGGAAAGAAGCCAGAGTGTAGGCAGGTTGAGGCTTAAATGGGCTGAGAGATAGTGGAGACAAGTGTTCTCCAAGAGCTTAGTTGTGGAGGGAATGAGTGAGTTAGGGCAGGCATTAAAGGAGCAAAAGATCAACAAGATTGCTGTTAAGAAATTTCCCACTTGTTCAAGAGTTCTAAATTTTAAAAGAAAAAAAAAAAAAAGAAATAAAGACTACTGCTCGCTTCGGCAGCAATGTATTGGAACGATACAGAGAAGATTAGCATGGCCCCTGCGCAAGGATGACACGGAAATTCGTGAAGCGTTATAAAAAAAAGATATAAAGACTAGTAAGCATGTTTAGATAATGAGGAGGGTGAGCTGAGAGGGAGAGAAGGTATGGTTGTCATTAAGAGGGCCCTAAACAGGTGGGGGACCCAGGGCGAGACACAAAGCCCCGCTGGGAGATGGACTCTGACAGGTGGGGGACGCCTCTTTTTGAGTTGAAGGAAATGACTGGTACCTCCAGGCAGTGTGGGCAGAAAGGCGGGATCTCCCCATTTCTTTGCAAGCCTGTGTCGTTGTAGAACCTTCAGCCACACTCCTGGCCCCTGACTGGTGGGGCCCAGGGTCCTGGCCTCTGTGTTTACAGTTTGCATTACGGGGATGACTCAGGATCTAGTCCTTCCTCCCCTGCCAATAGAAATAGAAAAGAATCTCCACACTTACCTTGCCTCAGGCTGTTGTCTCTGTTGGTCAACAAAGAGTTTCTAGAAGTCTCTCTTTAACTAGTGGTGGTATGCAATGGATTGTCAGAATAATTAACCCAGTCAATTGTAAATAAGGTGATTGATAGGTGTCAGCAGGTCACAAAACTTTCTGTTATTGCAAATACAAGGTCTAAATAAATCAAAATAATTTTTCAGATCCTCAATAGGCCTTCCTTTCTTTCTTTCTTTCTTTTATTTTTTTGCAATCAGTTCTCTCAAAGGGCCTTCCTTTCTGTTTCTGATGAAAGATTATCACATCAACAAAGGAGCAAAAATGCCTGAGAAGGTGACCTGTATTTTAGTGCATTGCATTTTGATATCTGAAGTTGATTTCTACTGCTGACTTTAAACTCTTAGAAAGAGATATGTTTTGACTCCTGCAAAATTTTTCCATTCACACTTCGGGCTCTCACAAGTTGATGACAAACTACACCCTAAAAATAAGGCGAGACTGAGGATTTTTTTTTTTTGTCTTTTTCTGTTATTCTGGAAAACACTCTGTCCTCTTATAGAGGGAAGCTTCTGCTTTGATTAACACTATAAATAATATGAGACAAAGCCCAGAAATGAATTACTCACACAGGCTCCTATATTGAGTAAGATCTCACATATTAAAAATCAAGGTTGGCAGTTTAACAGGCCTATGATGGTTCAGAAATCCCCTGGGGGACTTTTAACCATCTCTTTTTGCATGTTCACTTTGTCATAAGGCAAAGAGTCCCTGTCATATCTCTACCTAAAGGGTGAGCTCAGGCACTGATTTTGGTGTCACCCTGACTGTGCCAAGAAGTCAGACACTATACAAAGTCAGATACTCCAAGGGCTTTCCTTGGGGAGGAGGGTGAAAGTGGAAGTGTTGGAACATCAGCCCAGGGGAGAAGTATGAATTCAGCAAAACATCCGGGACGATTTGCCACCTTTGTGAACAGCGCAGAGAATGCCAGGTTAGTCCAGCTTCCCGGCACACCAAAGGGGGCAGCAGCAGCGCCTCTGTGAAGTAGGCTGTAAACTTTGGAGATAATTTATGTTTCCACTTGCACTTGCTGATAATCTCAGCTGCTCTGCTGTGCTTCCACATGTTGACACAATGCAAGATAACCATGCAGAAGTTTGGTCTTAAGCACCTGCAGTCATATCCACCAGTTATTTAGATAAAAGCTGCCTTTGATATTCTGCATACTCCCCTCTCAAATTTGCCCATTGACATCACTGGGCTTAGCAGCCCTGGCTTTTGAAATTAAATCTAAGCATTCTCAGAGGGTTAGTTAGGGTCTTCCTTCCTCGGGACAGTTCACTTAGCCTTGTGGCTCTCCCAACAAACAGGAGCCTGGCATTCTGAGAAAATGAAACCAAGCAGATTGATGTGCTTGGGGGCAGGGGCACCTGGAATCTAGGGCAACTTCCACCTGCTGAGGGAGGCAGTGGCTCCTTTTAATTGCTGTTCCAGAGTCCCCGTGAAAACTTGGGTGAGCCAAGAAAGCATGGAGCCTGCCAGGCTCCCCACACCATACCCACCCGCTTGCAAACATGATTGACTTTCCACTTGCAGTGACCTGCCCTCCAGTGTGACTTATCAGCTGTTTGCCCTTTGTCACGAAAAGAAAACAAATTGTGGAATGCACTGCTCGGCATGCTAATGAAATGGCCTGGCCAACCCCAGGGGGAGGGGGTGGGTTATGAGAAGGTTTGCAAGCAAGGAGAATAATGATCTTCAGTTTCTGACCTCCTGGCACGGTGGCGGTATTTATCAGGAGGTGCATGTGACTGGTTAAGACACAGAGCCTCAGCTTGAAGGAAACAGCTGCTCTCGGCGTGCTCCGGCACTTGGCAGCTGGACAGGCAGAGTGCTGATGTGAAAAATACCGCGACAAAACCGCCCCAGTAAGTAACTGGAGAGCTTTCCTCTGCGTGTGTCTGTGTGTGTGCGTGTGTGTGTGTGTGTGCGCGCGCGTGTTGCAAGCCACCAACAACTTTTTATCTTGATTTTGGTTTCACTCTGGCACTATAGAAGGAGATCTTTTATTTGTACCTGTTAAAAACCATTTGTGTTTTTACTGACATTTTTGGAACCTGTTCTTTTCAGCCACGTTGTCTTCTAACTTTGAGAATGAATGGGGCACATTGCCTGATTCCTCCTCTGGGAAACAGTGAGTCTGTTTCCAGGGGTTCAGGATTTTTATGGTCCATGGGTGTTTAGGTTCAAAGCCAAGATTCAGGTTCTGAAGCAGAGAACTCACTGAAGTGAGCTGATGACTAGATTTGATTTTAATCAGTTTTGCCATTGAAACTTTAAAGCATAGTTGTTGAAAATAACGTGAATTTATTGTTTGGCTGACTTGTCTCATTTAACTATGTGTAACAGTCTGCAATAGAGAAAACTGACAAGATAATAATTAGACTTAGATTAATCTGAGATCATATTAAAATTTCATGCATGCTTTTCAACTCATTGAAAGCTGTATTTTATAGCTCTTTTCTTCAATGAGGTAATTCACCTTCATTATTTTATAATTTTTGCCCACGGGCTTTCTTATTTTAGTGTTTTTATGATGCTAAGAGTCTTTCTTCCTTGTTTATGACCTGGATTATGAAAATGCTGCCTGAAGTTGATTATCAACTCGGGTGGGATTGGAGGAGGCTGGCGTGCAAATAACCGAGAGGACCTGTTCTTTCCCAGGTTTGTTCAGCAGTAACAGAGCTTGCTCTTGGGACAGCAGCAAAGCAGGCACCATACTGGAACCGAGCTGTTGTTCAGGGACTTTTGTCCTTCCATGATGTCACCAGGCAGGATGCTTAAGAGGAAAGGAAAAAGGGGAAAAGAGAAAGGGCAGAACCCTGAATCGATGATGTAAACCTCTGAAAGTGACAGGCTTCTGAATCAGAGGCTGCAGGGAGATCACTGAACGGGTTCCTTTTTCTGGGTTGCTTGGATGTTAGGGAGGGGGAGCAGAGAGTGGTTGTTTTTCTTTGAAGTCTTACCAAACAGTTGTTTTGCTTGGGATGAGCCTAGGGCACTCCGATGTGTGCTTGTTTCCCCAGGCAACCGATGGATTATCACATAGGCTCACATTGTACAATTTTTGTGCATCTTCCACCTCCTGCCACAAGGAAACTTTGTTCTTTCTCCACCTTGCCACCCCTGGTTGTATGGATTGAGAATGACACACGGGTTCTGCAGGGCAATACCTGTGTAGGTTCTGCGTAGAGTTTTCCTTGGACACACTTGGTCTCGAGTACCACAGCAGCCAAAGATCTTTGATGGAAGCAGCTTCAGAGACCCTGTCTAAGAAAATGGTTAGTCTGGCAGGCATCAAGAAGTTGTCCCTTTTCTTTTCCTTAAAATGTAGAAGACTGGCCAATGGGAACAAATAATTCCAACACCTCTGTTTCTCGCTATGCCATTTGCCTGAGGTCCTTGGGTCAGGCTGTGGCCTGTGGCTTGCGACTTCCCTGTCTCATTGAGGAGGGCTGGCTGTCCTCCTGGGCCGTTCTTCAGGGAGTTTGCTTCTGGTATAGTTTCCCTTTTTCCACAGGTTAATAGTGCAAAACGACTGCCTGGTGAAATTGTGTCTCTGGAATAATAGAGCCTCCCACAATAAAATGGACTGTCCCAGTGGGAGTCAGAGTAATCCATTCAATTATCCAACTGCTGAGTTTTTTAAATCCTATAGATTATTTTGAACAACCCATGATACCTCGACTTTTCAAAATATTAACAGCAAAATAATAAAAGTAATTATTTTATAGATAGAGGGTACATTTATGAAGTCAAAGACTTTTAGATCTGGATAGAAATGATAGAATGCACAATTTAACCTCTTCATTTCAAATGTATCTGGGTCACAGTGCTGAGCCAGAAAAGAGAGCTCAAGGCTTCTGCTACTGTATACATCATAGTATTTACCCTAATAATTATCCTTTACACTGATTGTGCACTTACTATGCCAAGTGATGTGCTAAGCAAGTGTATTTATTTTCACAGACCCCTCACAGTAACTCTGTGTGCTAGATGGTATTATTCCACTTTATGGAGGGGTTCTGAGGTTCAGAACCCCTTAGCCACTTGGCCATATAAGACACAGGCAGGAGTGACACCTAGATCTGACTCCAGAACTCATGCATTAAAAAATAAAAGTGGAATGCCTGTGCTAACCCCACATATTTAAACCCAAAAGCTCATGCAATGCAAATTAGAGTATTTCCAGCACACCAAGATTAGACACACAATGCGTGTTATGGCCCTTTCATGGCAGGAAGGGCTAGGTTTCCCCCTGTGACAGTCTGAGCCCAAGCTGAACAGGCTCACAGACTTGCAGTGTGTTTTTCTCTTTGAAAATAGTTTGATGGTGGCCCTCACGTTGGTAAGAGCAGCAGCTGAGAGCTTTGTTATGGACCTGGACACAGGGCTCTCATGCCCCCTCTGGCCTCTCCCTCAGTTTTTCCTGTCACTCCTTTCCTTTGGAGAATGGCCACTCTATACATGCCCCACCCCAAATAGCTGGCTTGGTGTTGATAAAACTGTTATCAGCCCCGTTGGTTGTGGCTCATCCTGGAGGGCTGGTTGTCCTAGTGGCTTGTTTATGAGTAGAAATGACGCAATCCGCCACTCTGCTCCCTTTGTTCTGAGCTCTGGGTATGAGGGGTGGGCCACAGGGCCGGGGACTGGCTGGGAGTGGGGAGGGAGGGCAGCTGTGCTTTTCTCTGCCCTGCCAATTGCCCCCAGTCACCCTTCTGAACCTGTGGCCTTTCTGGTCATCAGACAGACAGAGCCTTACAGAAACCTACTTCTTGAATCCTTTTACCAATGTCATTTGGCTCTCCATGTTCCTCCACTCAGTTAAATGTCCAAATTAGGGTTGGGGGCAAAGAGAAAGAGCACTGGGTAATACATAAGCAGCGGGGGTGGGTGGGTGGGGAGGGTCCTTTGGTTAATGAGAAGGAATTAAGCAATAGGCCATGCGTGCATGACTCTGAGAAAGTTACCAAGGTTTTTGCAAGGTCGATACAAGATTACACATTTTGAAGATCAAGCTATTTATAGCAAGAAAGGGAATTTTTAATCTTTAATCCCACTTGCCTCCTGCCTCTAAAACTAAACCCAGCTCAATAGTAGCCAGTGATGCAGTCTGCTAAACCCAAAACACTGGGAATTACCTCCGATCCTTGCTGGAATTGCTTATTTCCGTAGAAGCTGGCATAGTTTAGTGAGTGCTTTATGGGGATACACGAAGTAGATTTAGGATTGCGATAGAGTCTACAAGCCAGACTCCAGAGGTGGTTTGAAGCAAAATAAAATGCTTGATTAATTTCTTGGGATAAAGAAACAAATTCTGTGATACAGTACTTGTTTATTTGTTTTTGTCAGATTGCATGTTTCAAAGACACCTGTTAAACAGGTTAACAAAGTTAACGCTTTGATCCCCTTTTTCCTTGTGTGGGTTGCTCATTTACAGTCCGTGGAGTTAACTCTTTGCTGTCCTATTTCCATTGCTCTGTGGGATTTGAAGTCTTTAGGTTTTCTGCTGTTTCAAGTGGCTATTGTACCTTCAGAGTCTGTGGTATGTAGAGTCACCGTGCTTTGATCCTCGAGCCCATCTTTGGTACTGAGAAGATGAGCCCCTGTGTTTGTAGATACCTACATAAGGCACCTTCTTGCACTTTGGCACAATCCTGTGAAAGAGAGAGGATATTATCACCATTGTTTACAGAGAGGAAACAGAGAATGAGGGAAAGTGAGTGACTTGTCCATGCTCATGGGGCAAGTAACTGACAGAGCTCAACTATGTCTCTAGTCTACTGACTCTAAATACCAGGCTTTTTCTCTGAGTTTATGCTGTTGTCCTGACAAAAACCAACTTCAACTAATTCATGGCTGTGTCCTTATACATAAGCTGTAGAATTATGCTTTGTGATAAAAAGTGATGTAGCTTGTATTATTATCTTCTGATAGGCAAAGGGCAAATGGATGATCGATATGTGATATGCCATTTTATGCATATCAATGGTCATATTTCCAAAGCCTATAGATGATTGACTCTGGGAACAGGGTCAGCTTAGCCACAGACACAATAGTGTTGGCTTGGGGTAGTATTCTTAAAGGAACTTATTGATCATTTTTCTCCTCTGCAGACTCAATGTAGTTAAGTTGGAGTCAATACCAACTATGGCATGATGTAACATTCGGCTTTTAGAGGGGGTTTGGTTGTGTTCTGAGATATAAAAAAGGCAGTCAGCCCTTCAGTGTGCACTCTCCTTGCCCCAAAAAACCATCAGCATTCTTGAAAGTTCTGCCTGGGTGCAGCACCTTTACTCCCATGGAGGAGTAGTGCACTCTGACCACTGGGCATAGTGTCCTCTGCGATCACTTCCCAGTGCAATTATCTGCCCACAACTGAGAGCGTCTTAACTTACTAGAATAGCTGAGACACTTCTCTATCACTCAATTTTTTGTTATGGCAATTCAGTTTATCCTATAACAGCATTATCAGTACGTTGGCAAGATCATAAAATGGCGGTGCATGATGCTTGGTGACTTAATGGTACAACTGCACTTTGTAATGGCCGGGGCTTAGAGGCAGGGCGAAGCCAGTGAACAGCTTTGTGACAATAAATGCCACCATAGTGTTTCTTTCTCAAGTAACTTTTTTGAGTATTAATGTGAAAGGAAGCCTTCTTTGAATTAAAAAAATTCTGAAAAACATTTAATTTATGACTAGCTAACTAACTCAAAGAGCATTTTTCCTTAGTGACTACTGTAATAATCAGAACTTTCTGCACCTTTCAAGAGGGCACAAGCAAAAGAAAAGAAAAAAAATGAAATGGTGAATTAAAAGTCTACCTTCCTAGATTATAGTCTGTAGAATTTGAGGTAATATAAACCTTGATGCCCCTATGGTAAGTGGAGAATTAAGCTCAATGTATAAATGACTTATGAAGCTGCGGATATCCCAACGTCTTTTAAGTTTCAATTTGAATAGATTGGTAATTTTGTTTTCTGAAGGATTCTCTATTTGCCAAATGCTGTCCTATCTTTACACTTAGTGTTGGTTTAGGTGGACCCATCTCTACTCCACAAGACAGTCTAAGCCCTTTGTTTAGATCATTATGCCTATAAGTGTTCTCAGAATTTCACCTTTGACCATGTTCCAGCTACAATTTTTGACAGAAAACTAATAATGAAGGAGAAATGACATGGAAAAAATTAAATTCATATCTAATCCCAGAATTTCATATTAGTCACTACTTTTCCATTACCTAATTGTTTCAAAAATCACAAACAAAGAAGTGCATTTGAGTGTGTGTAAGTGATTTTAGTTGCTTCTCTTTTTCCCATTTGGGGTGTTTGTACCATAGTAGAAACCTTACTAATTAATGGATTGGCCAAAAGGAGGAGTGATGAGCTGAAGAAGAACTTAGGCAAAAGAGGCCATCCATCTGTCATGGAATCAGACTACAATTATTTTTAAAAATTGCCTTAGTCACTTCTCTATTTTGTTTTGAGAAAGTAAAATTTTCCCCTTCATCCAACAATTCAAATTGGGCTGAACCAAGTTTCCTTGGAGTTTTTACATAAATTAACTTTGGAGAGGTACCAGGAAGGGTTCCTTCCTAGGAGTTTACACACATGGGTTGGTTTTGTAGAACTCTCTAGACCTGGAATCAAAGAGTCAGGAATGATGAATGTCCTTTTTTGGCTACACTCAAACAACTTGGCTGTGACCATCAAGGAAAAATCTTCTCAGTCTCAGGTTAATATAGATTTTTGGAGCCTATAAACTACTCAGGAATTTTTAAACAACTTTAAATTGAAGAACTGAGTATAATTTCCATATTTGGTTCTGGAAAATTCATACCATGCGTTCAATTTGACTGAACTTTGGATTCTGCTCAGCTTTCAGTTCTGTTTTTTAAAAGAAGAAAGTATTTCATTTATGCATGGAATGCTTGCCATTCAAAATCATATGAGTTGACAGGATGTTTTAGAGATCATTATTTTTTTATGGCAAGGACTATGCCCGGTCTGAATGGTGGTGCTGGAAATTTCTCTGTATTTCATTTCTGTCCCCAGTCACTCTTGATTCTGAGATGAATCTGCCTCTTTCTATTTAACTTTTGTAGTAGGTATTTAAACTGTGTCTGCTATTGAGAGAGGGAATTAAATAATGTTTATTTTTACATCACTCAGAGGTAGACTTGTTGTCAACATTCTTATAGAAGAGAAAAAAAGCTTTTAGAGAGGTCATATACTTTGCATAAGCCAATGAGTAGGATTCTGGCTCTAGTTTGCCTGAAAACAAGCACATGCATTTTTCATTCAACCACACTGTCTCTCTCCATGTCTATGTTAAAAATTGATGCTTTCTGTGGGAAGGGCAGCCATTCTGTGGAGTCAGGATTCTGCTGTCCTTGTCATATGACTGGCATTATGTCATGCCCAGTGCATGCCCATTTCTCTTAGTAGGGTGCTGTAAGACAGAGAAATGCCCTAAGACTCTGTGAATTCATGGTTGAACCCCGTGGTCTCTTTTTAGCTCCTACTCAGAACATATTCAGTTTTCACTGCTGAGGTGTTCTCTCAGTTGTGCTGCTCTGTACCTTTGGCAGGGTGCTCTTGCAGAGATGAGCCTCTGGAAACACTCAAAAATGATTATACTATATCAGATGGTGACAGCTATAAAAGGGATCATACCTATAGGACAAACTGAGTAACCAGTGGTAACAGTTGGCTTTACATTATATTTCATTTTTATAAGGAGTGACATAATATGGGCACCAAGAGGGGTGATCATATGCACTCCCATAAAATGTTTTTGGGGGCTATGATTACAGATAGATAAAAGGGCCAAAGAGAGCTTGAAGCAGGACCAGTGTGACATATCTCATGCTATTTTAATGGTTTATGTTTTAGAAGAGACACTGCTTTCAACCTCTCTTTGGAAGTTGCAAGAACTCTGGTTGACATAAACTTTGGTATTATTATGTAAGAATGGATGGTTTATCTTTTTCAGCTGCAAGGATGACTGAGACATATGTCATGCATAAAATTCTGCAACAATGTGGGAAACTATCTCACATCAAGCTTGTGGATAAGAGGCTAATATGTTTGGAAAATTGTTTTGAGCTTTAATCCCCAGATTTAGAAATTTTAATCACTCAAAACTTCAATGAACACAGACTAGTTCATAGGTTCCCTTATGTAGAAGCCAGAATTTACATTTAGGTAACAAAAGTAATAGAAAAAAATCCAACATATATTTTCATATAAGATGATTCATTTGGTATATTTAAACATATGCTTTTGTACTACAGACTGCACAGACATGAATAATATAGACTTTATCCCATAGGATATTACTACCTTGTTAAGCAGATCAATATTTAAAAAAATTATTACATTAATCATCTTATAATAGAAAAATATATGTTCTATAAAAGAGGGTTATACAAAGTTCTTTGGGAGTCTAGGGAATGGAGATAACTAACTGTATCAGAATGAGTCAAGGAAGATTTCCTAGGGTTGGTGACATTTGAACTGGGTATAAAAAGATAAATAGTCATTGTTAAAGAAGAAAAAACTATATTTTGAAAGAGTCCATACTAGAAATAACATGTAACTTGATAGAGCTGAATCATAGGATACATGTTGGAGGAGGGGGTGGAGAAAAAGATCAAAGACAAGATGGTTCCAGATGGTTAAGAGTAGGGTTTGCTCTTCTGAAGCATTTAGATCTTTTTGAACACTATTTAAAGTTAAAAGAATTCTTTTTATTATGGAAAATTATATATATATATATATACACACACACACAATAATATTATGAACCCCTATATATTTATTATCCAACTTTAACAATTTTTAATTCATTGTCAGTCTTGTTTCATTTATATCCCCACCCATACTGTCTTCTTCCCATATTAATTTTGAAGCAAATCCCATGTATTTAATCATTCCATCTATAAACATTTTAGTGTTTCTAAAACATAAGTTCTCTTAAAAAGTCACAATATCATTAATACATCTAAAATAATTCTTTATTATCACAGCTTGTCAAGTAGAGGAATGATATGCATACATTTGCATTCTGGAAAGAAAACTCTGAAGGCAATGAGGAAGACAAATTAGAGAGAAAAAAATACTAAACACCAAAAGAAGACTCCGGAGATAGGTTAGAACCTGGGCAAAGGTAATGGAGAAGATGGAAGAATTTTCAGAAAATTTTTAAAGTAGTTGATAGTTCTTGAGATGAATTATATGGGAGAGCAGGGAAGGAGGGAGTTGAAGAAGATTTGGAGGTTTTAATTTGGGTAATCAGCATATGAATATGCCATTAACTCATATAGTATAGAGATTTCTTGAAAAGTAATTTAACTTGGTTCAACAATACACAGAGACTATCAGAAACAAATCCAAAAATAACTTCCTATTACCCTAAAACAAAACTTTGAGACTTGTGCCTGAAGTCCCAGCTACTCGGAAGGCTGGGGCAGGAGAACGGCTCGAGTCTAGGAGTTTGAGGCCAGCCTGCACAACATAGAGGGACCCTGTCACTTAAAAAGAAAGAAAGAAAGAAAAAGAACAAAAACAATACTTTAAGATTTGGAGCATTTGGAGTAATTTTGATGGTCCACCTTAAGAAAGTCATTAACAAAACTTGGAAAACATGCAGAAAACATTCAGAGGGACAGAGGAGCCCAGGGACAGACTGAAAACTGAGACCTTTTCAGTTTAAATGGGATTAATAGCTATAAAGCCATGAAGGCTAATGAACATGACTTATTCACCAAACCCCAAACCACTACAAGTTTGAAAGAGGTGAATTAAAAATAAGGAAAAGAACGCCCTCCCCATTTTATGATAAAAATATTCAAACAAACAAAAAAGTTGAAAGAATTATGCAATGAATGCCCTTCTACAATGAACAATTTACCGTTTTTTTTCTTTGACACATCTATCTATTTACCATTCCTCTATCTGTCCATTGGTCCATCTTATTTTTTTTTCAGAATAAATTGCAGACAGCAGTACACTTCATTCCTGAACACTTCATCGTCATACATGCCATTAGCCAGAGTTTACTATTTGTTTATGCAGAATTTATACTTTACACAAGAGAGATTAAATTTGTACATTCATTTTCTCAAAAGGCAAGGCTGTGATTCAAGAAGGATTAGCACAATTCATGGCTGATTTTTAGTGGGTTATTTATGAAAACAAGAAACTGTTTGAGAACCTCTTAATTCTCAAAAGCAGTTGCACTCCACTACAAAACAGCCTTTGAGGCACTGTCAGGTATCAGCCTGGCAAAGCCACTGTTCCTCTCAATGAATGATCATTGAATTTGAATGAGAAGAAACCGCCACCCAGAAACACAAGCTTTTTGCCAGTAAGTGATAGATATGGCACTAGAACTAATTACTTCTAATAGTTTCTTATTGAGCATCACACTTTGCCTCTAAGAACTCTGCAGAGTAGTAATGCAACATAGGAGATGATTTATTAGTAAAAAGGTAATGCATTCTCTGCAGTGACGGTGAGATTGCTCAATGTGAGCCAATAGTTGGGTAATGGGAAGGGAGGTAAAATGTTCTCCTTTGAAAGAACTCTATTCACATATTGAAAAGAAAAAACCTGTGTCCATATTTACCCTCTGACTTCCTTCAAAGAGGATTAAAGCAACTTATGATAAAAAGCAAAAATAAAATCAAACTGAAAATGATTAACACATTAATAAAACAAGGGCCAAAATATGCCAGTTAGTCAGGTGGGGAACAAGTTCAGACCTAGAAAGCTTTAAAATGTTCTCAATTATCCCAAATTCTGACATGTTCCATCTTGCTGATTGGTTCAAGAATTAAAAGTCAAGCTGAGATGGTGTCTAAAAGATGTGTTTGTTCAAATGTTTGTTGTTGATGAAGATCTCTAGTATTCATCCGGAAACTAAAAAATTCAATCAAATAGCTGGGCATTTAACTACACAGAAAGTAGGTATTTTGATGCTAAAAAAATTTTTAGGTGTTTGATTGATTTTGTTGGTTTCCATTTTGATGTTACGATACTTGTCTGTGTCAGTGGCTCTCAACTGAAAGTGATTTTGCCTTCCAAAAGACATTCAGCAATGTTGGGAGACATTTTTGGCAGTTGCAACTGGGAGTGGGGATGGAGTACTACTAGCATTTAGTGGGTAGAGGCCAAGGATGCCACTAAACATTCTACAATACACAGGATAGGCACGACAACAAATAATTATCCAACCAAAAATATCACTAGTTCCACGGTTGAGAAACCCTGAACGTGAAGCAACGTGAATCAACTAAAAATCTTGCTCTAATATGCCTTCAGGACCCTTTAGACTAGCTACATGGAACTTTCTTCTTGTAACCGCTATTGGGTAGTGACCTCACACACGTGATGAAATACTACGGCATCATCGTCAGGGTGAAAATGAGATGTAAATGACCTGGCCTTCAAAATAACGTCTGTGAGATGCCAAGTTGAGTGGTTCACAGCACAGTACTCTTTGGTGTCCCATAGAAGAAATGTTGGCAAGCAAGGATACTGATACTTAGCAGGAAAATATCCAAAGCAATGAGGGCCACACTGTTGATCAGAACAGATCAAAGGATCTTTAGGTCCTAAGCCATGGGACACTTCATCCTGCGATTTGGGGAGTTCATTTCTCTGTTTCCTGCTTTCCTCTTCTTCAAAAACTCAGGACGGGGAACCAAAGGGCATCAGAAGCAGGCCGTCTTGCTGCCAATCCGATGACTATGTATCTCTCATTTACGTTACTCTCCTTCATCTTCCCCTTACTAATTATAATTATATATATTATGATTATAACCTTGTTCTCCTCCTTTCTTCATGTGCATAACAGCTAATACCTTCCCTTTGGTTATCTTCTCTTCCTTCTGGGTTTTCAGCTTCGTCCTCTACCAGATACTCTTCATCATTGCATAGGTAGGTGTTCTTCAGTGGCTCTCATCTCATAAACACATCCTTTGCTTCCCACAACCTCTGCCAGTTTTTCTTCACTCCAGTCCTAGACAGACTTGTCTACACGTGCTGTCTTTGTTTCTTTACCTCCCATTTACTGTCTCACTCACACCAACCTGGCTTCTGCCTACAGATCCAATGAAGCTGTCCTTGTCAAGGTCACCAGTGACCTCCTTGTGGTAAATCTTTCAAAAGCAAATAGTTTCCCATTTTTTTCTTATTTGACCTCTCAGTAGCATTCAACATGGGTGTCAGTTTCAACTTGTAAGAGCCCATTCTTCCCCTGGCCTCATGGCACCACGTGGTTTTAAGCTTTCCTTTTCCCTCTCTGACAGCACCTCCTCAAGGTGCTTTGCTCTCCCCTTCTCTCTGGCCTCAAAATGTTGGAAAACCCAAGGCTTGAGGGTGGGTCCTCTTGTCCTCTCTATATTAACATTTTATTCCTGAGCAGTCTGAACCATTCCTATGTCTTTAAATGCTGTTCTCCCAGTTGTAAATTCCATCCCATATTTTTCCTTGGAGCTCCAGGTTTGTATAAATAACTGCAGCTCAACTTGAGACCCACACTCGGGAGTTTCCCAGGCATCTCAGCCTTAACACATCTTATGCACAACTCTAGATTTCTTCCCATATACCCTTTCTCTCCATCCTGCCTGCCTTCTTCAGCTTAGTAAATGGAATTATGATCCAGCTAGTTTTTCCACCTCTTCGTTCCCTCCCATCCAAAACTGAATCAATCTCCAACTTCCAGCTCTTGCTTAAATTTATCATCTCTTCAAAGAGGTATTTCCTGACCACCCAGCTAAAATGACCCCTTTTGCCATTCTCTACCTTGGCATCCCATGTGGGTTTTCATTCATAGCTTTTATAACAATTTGTATCAATTTGTCTGTCTACTTATTGATGTTGGTTTCCCTCACTAAACTGTACACACCGCTGGACAGGGACCATCTCTATTTAGTTCACCCAGGCCCTGGTATAACGTCTGCTAGGTAGAGGCATGTTTGTTGAGTCAATAAAAGACTATTTGGATACTGGTCCTAAAACAGACACTTTTTTCCCCCTGAAAAGATAATAATTAGGTGCTTTTGTTGTGAGAGACACATTTTTAGTTAGATTAAAAGACAACATTTATTACAAATGTTCAGGCTACGCAAATAAAAAAAAAAAAAAAAAAGACAACATTTAAACATTGCCCAGAAAAAAAGAAAGAAAAAAACAGATAATATTTAATAAATACTTCTTGGTTTATTGGAAATTTACTTAAATTGGAAATTTGCTTAATTTCTTTGTATTCCAATTCATTCATTTATAACATAGAAATAATGCTATTCACTCTCTTTGCCAAACTTTATTTTTATTTTTTAAATTTTTATTTATTTATTTATTTATTTATTTATTTATTTATTTATTTATTTATTTTTGAGACAGAGTCTCCAGTCTATGTGACTGGGCTGGAATGCAGTGGCATCATCCTAGCTCACTGCAACCTCAGATTCCTGGGCTCAAGCGATCCTCCTGCCTCCATCTCCTGAGTAGTTGGGGCTACAGGCATATGCCATTATACCTAGCTAATTTTTCAATTTTTCGTAGAGACAAGGTCTCTCTATGTTGCTCAGCTGGTCTAGATCTCATGGCCTCAAGCAATCCTCCTGCCTCAGCTTCCCAAAGTGCTGGGATTATAGGCATGAGCCACTGCACCCAGCCTCCAAAATTATTTCATAGGACAAAGTTAGATAATTGCTTTTTAATATCCTTTGGATAGAGACATTAAATACGTATAAAACCACACTTGAGATGGTGCAGAAATTACATGTACTATCAATTTCCTTAGTCTGAGGACTGTATTGCACTAATATCTCAACTCTTATGGTTATGAGTCAATAAAATGTCATCAGTCTTCTGGATGGTGTTTTTGTTAATTGGCTAAAATTATATCATTGTCTATGCAGCCTTGGAGGCCTCCTTTCATTGCCCTGCCCCGTGAGAGATGCCATGGAGGCTGGTGGACAGCACAGAACCGTAGCCTGGGGTTGAGGCTCAGGCCAGAGCACAGTGGACGTTCTGGCATCTGGCCAGGGTGTTGAAGGGTAACTGAGGTGAACAAAGTAGAGAAAGAAGCAACTTCACAGGGAGGAGTAAGGAGAAATATCTCTAGAACCTGACAGAGTCATAAAAGAAACCTTATTT